ACCAGGAGCAACAATTCCACAGAAATTGAAAACACAAACAACACACGTATATAAGCACAGGTGTTTGGACAGAGGTATTGAGACACAGGCGTGAAGACGCAGGCGTGGATACAGAGACACATGCGTGTTGAGATGCAGTGTCGTTGTTGGCGTTTAGACACAGGTGTGACAACGTAGGTGCAGACACCAACAAAATCCAACTGCGTAACTAAAGCTTCGACAGCTGTCTAAACTACTTGATCTCAAAGTGTAGGCAACCCATCCGATGGGGCTCCACGATGAACTGCCCTGCTGTGCAAATGATGCTGCGACGGACCTGTTCCATACTGTATTCTGCCGCCTCGATGGAATCTGCGGTTTTTGTGTGTTTGTGTCATCGCGACACCCAAAAGAATTTCCCGGCAACAGACCCCAAACAGTGTGTTTGAGGTCTGGAGGTGTAGCAGCAAACATCGTAAAGATATAGACGCATTGGGATCCAGAGCGGTGATGGTGGTGATGAGAGATCGTGATGATGGCGATGGTGATGGTGATGGTGGTGGGTGGCGACGGTGGTGATGTCGGTGAATGGATGGGTCCAAAAACAGAGAGAATTAATGTGGACAGTTACAAATTACAGCGACTTCTTGTTACAGGAGGCGCCGAGAGCGCAACACCAAGCGCGTGGACCGCAACCGCAAGTCCGCGCACGAAAAGCTGGCCGCGAAGGACGACCGAAACAAGAATTCCTGCACAGTTTTCGGAATTTGCTCGTATTCCAGGAAGAAGCCCTCCTTGCCAAAAGGAGGAAGACGGAGAAGGCGTGTTATCTTTCGGCTTCCCCGATTAAACCATCCTCTATACGGTCATAGAATGTAGAACCTCTGCTCGTTTCGCGCAGGCCGGGGCTCCGTCCGTGTTCGGCAAGCAGCCGCCAGCCACAGAACATGAAGATTTACAGAACTGTTTCATACTTTAATGGCATGAACCCGAGAAAAAACATGCATTTTGTCTATCTCGCGAGGACCCCGACCTAGCTGCAGAGCTGTCCGCAGAGCTAAAGCCGGCGCAAAAGCGACCAAAGGCACGTGACGCGCCGGTGCCAAAAAAATCATTGCAGTGACGACGCCAATTTGTTGTATATTCGCAAGGCGCTAAACTTGGAGAACTGCCTCCATGGGCTTGATCCCAAGGACGATCCTTTGTTCGCTTGATTTCCGCAATATGGCCGCGGCTTTTCTGGCAGGATGTCGCTGCAGCAAAGCACCGGGCAAAATCGGCAGCCGAAGAAAAACAAAGGACAGGAGTTTCTAGCCACGATAACCCAAAGCTCTTTTTGGCCAACGTTGAAACAAAAGACGGCACGAAGCTGGGAAGGCGCCGAAGAAACAGAGGAACAGGCTAGACCCACAAATTATCCAGTCATTTTTCCCACCGAACAAAGACAACTTCCTGTTTCTTGTCATTTGCAAGTTGTTTGGAGGCTCTGCAAAGGGCCTTGAGGGAAAGCCAAAGCCAGGCCTTTGTTTCGCATCACTGAACTAAAAAATCAAGATGAAGACAATCCTTTGCAAGGCACCAAGTCGCTCAAGAGCACGACGCGGCAACCTGCCCGAGCCCAACGCCGGCTTTGCTTTTTGAAAATCACATGAATGACTGCAGGGCAACGACTCCGGCAAGCAGTAACGTACCCAGATGTCACACACCAGAGCTTGATTCCAAGTAGCTTCTTGCGGAGGCAGTGAAGTGCTGTACGAACCACCTCCTCCACGACCGAAACCTCGGAAGTGAAGGCCAGGGCTCAATTCCCCAAAGACACCGCTTTTGGCCTTGAAAGTTTCAATCGTATAAGAGATGCGTGCGAATATTAATTTGGGTGCCGATACCGCTGCAGGGGCATACATATATTGGGAGTTGACTTAAACCCTGTGTAGGGAGTTTTATATAAGACAGCCTTTCAGATGTTGTTAAAACCATTCGCGAAAGATTCGTGATGATGAGGTTGAAATTTTTTTAGATCTATCGAAAGTCATGGCTTTCATATGTTTTCCTTCTACCGACTCACAAAGAATATTAATACAAGGCAATCCTCCGGCAGAGCCGGTGGACGGAAGTGTCCCCGCATGTCCCCATTGTCTGTAGCCCTGGCAGTGAACTCCGATTCCTGTCCAAGCTGTCACGGACTAGCAACCTGAGTAGGCGCAGCCCTGACAGTGAGGCAACGACCTGCAGCGAGTCTGACGGGCTGCGCAGATGTTTGCCAATGTTACGGCTTCCGGGCGCAAGCACTAGTGAAATTTTGCGAAAGGTCCGCGAAAGTTTTGCGAACGCACCGCTAAAGTCAGGTTTCCAGCGTGAGGCCCCCCAACATTCCCCGAGCTGCATCACCCTGTGATGAAGCTGGCACGAGAATTGGGTTGAGTTGTGCCTGGTTCTATTTGGCACAATTCGCCCAGATGCTGCAAGTGACCATGAGCAGCTGTGGAAACTTGCAACCTTTTGCTGGGGTCATGCTGCAAGATGTTTGTTCTTATTTGGTGATACTATGACATGTTCCGGCTCATGTTAGCTAGACATGGTTGTAGGACCATGCTTCGAGATGAGGCCGCGAAAGATCCGCGAAAGATATCTGTTTTCCGCGAAGAATGGCCGTTCCAGGATGAAAGAATACTGATCAACCACCATATGTACCCGGTATCTTGTCTATATATCTTGTTTCTGGTGGATATGCTTGTTTCCTTCATTACTTGGCGGCTCGACGAACAGGAGGCGATCTGTGGAAAAAGAGGCTTTGAAGAAATCCAAGACAGGTGGAACAGCCCTATAGCCCATCCCATATGTACCACTACAGGGTCCTATATGGTCTCTCAACCTGTTTTGGATGGTCTGAATAAAAAATCGGATATTACATCATATAAATCCATCAGTGCGTCAAAAATATGTATTCTTCATTTTGGGTTTGCAAAACTAATTCTATCCAATTATATCTTGAAGGGCGATGAATGCAAACGTTCTATTTCTTCGGCGTCGGAAACGCTGCATCCTTCAAACGCTTTCGACCAGGGGGAAATATATTCAATGTTTGTAAAGCAGCAGCAAACATGAATAATAGAAGAACAAACAGCAACGCGGCAGAAGCAGCGGCAGCAGAACACAGAAGCATCACAATCAAAAGCACCAATGCACACCATTGAGAAGTAAAAAGCCTTTATACACTGGCAACTTTCTCATGAATAGGAAACATAAGACGAAAGATTATTTTAAAAAAATCAAAAATCTGATATGTTTATATGCACATTCGAGAGTTTTGCAGCTGCATTTCGGGTATGCCGCAAATAGAATTACGTGCGCCTTGCCGTTTGTGGAGTTTTCCCAAATACGTAGACTCATGGAAACAGATTGTCCCGCTCCCCAGCGACAGGACTTTACACCATCAAGTGATCCTTTCGCAATGACTTGCGCCGACGCAATTTCCACCGTACCCCCGCAAAACCACATGGCGCCGCAACGTCGCAGACGGAATTTGGGTAGAGCGCGCAACAGACTAGAACAACAAATGTCGTGGACACCGTCAGTCATCGCGCTCAATGAAACACCGAGTTTACACCAGCATGTTTTCTTTCCCCAAATGGCACGGACTCACCCAATCACACTTTGATCCATGGCCGCGCGAGACCGCACAACACAGCGACGACAGACAAAATTTGCCCACACAGTGCGCATCAGAACAATGCAACACCAAGCCTCGTAAACACCGGCAATCGTCCCTTCTCCAGCGACGCACAAAATTTGCACCAGCATGTTTCCCATCCCCGAATTTATTCTTGCAAAGCTTTCTGAAAAGCATCAACGAAACTGCTGGGTGAAACTACACGGCCGCCAAGCAAGCACCTCCAAACCTCAAGCCGTGCCAATCGGTCCCAGAATTGTAGGTTGTACACATATATTCAACGAAACCTCAACTGCTACCCTCCACACCCCCACAACGCAAGCACCTCCATACCCCAAACCCGATTCTAAATGTGCACAGAAAACAACACTGCAAATTCAAATTCAACAAACACCTCGAAACAAATAACAACAAAATAGACAAATAACACTAACACATAGGACAACACTTGGAAAACATCGCATATAGTACAAATAACAAGCAACAATAGTACCAAAAACGGAACCGAAAACAAATCCCATTTTTTGTGTTGCATAATATATATGTTGCTTCCTTGCTTGTTAATGTTTGACCTACATTGTTTCTTAGTATTGTTTATTTTTGCAAGTTTATTGTTTTGCAATGTCCAATGCCAGGCGTCATTCAGCTCAACACAAGTCTAGTGGTTCTTTCCTAAACATCAATGGGTGTTGCGTTCTTGGCCTGACAAACCGGTTGGCAGCATTTCTTCAAACCTGCTTGCTTGCAGGTAGCCCAGACACTTCATGTGACTGCCATATTTGCCGATCAGTTGGGGTGGTTTGGGGGTTCTATGCCAGTCCCATTGAGTGTTAGGGCGATAGATCCCAGAACATCCAAGATGGAAGTCTTAAACATGCTGAGCGTAGCTCAGCTCGACCGGATATAAACTCGTGGACCGCCTTCCTCATCTTTGAACGGCCTTCTGGTATTTTCCAAGCCTGTGAGCTCTGTGCACCAAGACTCTCAAAACAGGGGTGTTAATGTTCCTGAAACGCAGACTCTCTTCAATGATGCAGGTATACCAGGACACACGGTCGGGGTAATGGACACCCCCCTAACCTTTAGTCCCAGAGGCCCACGCCTCGACTGTTGCACGGATTGATCCAGGACCATTTGGAAGGCTGAAATGAAGTGGATGATTCTAGAAAGCCACGTGCGCGGCATATTTGGCTCTATGCCTGCCTAGAGAGCATGTGACAAGTTAGGCCAGTGAGGCGAACCTAGTGAGGCATCCCACTCAGTTTTTGAATCATTCGATCTTTGGGGAGGTCAAAAGTCAAAAGAAGATCTAAGCACACGAGCCCACAGCCCGCGCTGATTTCGGGCTCAGGATATCCGAACCATGAGTGTTCGCAAAGTCTTCAAGGCGCACCAGAAAGAGGCCAGCGAACGCTGTTTGATTGTTATTGTCATTGGCACACAGCGAGATGGTGGAACCGAACAAGAATACCGAACTATGAGGAGAGATATGTTCCGAACTGAACCAACATGGACCCTAAGCATGGACTCCTGAAAATGGTCCTTTCCTTTAGAGCCCACTGGTTATCAGTCCAATGTAATCTGCCGCAGGGTGATCTACTTTGATTATCCATCAGTTGCGTGAACCAATGTAATGTCGACCCATGTCAAATACGTCCTCGTTCTTGGTGGTATCCACAGATGTTTTACCCACCCAGGTGACCTCTCTTTGTTGGCATCCTGAAAGTGATGGCCTTCTAGCGTCGGCAGCCTTGGGTGTTAAGTGATGAGACACTTGCTGAAGTCACTAGAAGCCCTTGCTGAAGACGTCGTGAACATCCCAAAACCACCATATTTTTCCATGCTAAAAGATGCTCAAAGAATGACATTTGGTTGTATCTTCCTGTTTCTGCCCTTTTCTTCCCTGAGCTGGAGACCAGGTTCAGATGTACACGCGTTGTTGTAGCACCAAAACATGCCAAATACAATTTATAGATGAACCAACAATATCAAGAACATGCAATATGCCATGACAAGTGTTAAGAAGTGCTACATCATGTTTGTATGAACACTGTGTAAAGATCAAAAGGTTGCTCAGGCTCACATCCCCCCAAGCTGGAGAGAGCCAACGAGAAGCCAACGAGAAGCCCTCGTCTTCATGCATGGCTTTTCGATGTACCTGGGATCTTTGAACACTTAGCAAATCCAGGGAGTTTCTCCTACTTGCCCCACGGGTTTTTCGCAGCCCTACACCATGACCACCAGTTTCATGGCTCCACCTCGCCGATCTTCTTGTTCGAGCCGGACCTGGCCTCCTTCGAAACAACGAGGTCGGGGGGCTATGATGGTGCGATCCACTTTTGGGGCACTCAGGGCTCCTCCTCGCCCATCGAATCCCTTCCCTTGGCCCATGAAGGCGCGTCCGTGTTCGGCGGTTGGCTCGGTGGTCAGTCGGTCACGGTCGGTGAGCCGAGAGGGTGAGTCAGGGAAAGACCTGCCTGGCCTACAGTAGGTCTTGTAGACCAAGTCTATATAGTAGGAATGGTGACTGCATGGCGAGTAAGGGGGGAGCTCTTTTTTTGGCTGATTGATCATTTGATGTGGTTATGAGCATCAAAAACGCATACTTTGGACGTATTCCCGACAAGACTTGTGACTTGTGTCCTTCCTTGGGATCTTCCGATGGATTTAGCAACCAGCCACTTGTAATGTAGAGCATGCGCCATTGATGGGGTTTGCCAAAAGCGTAGTTTCGCTGGTACCCACTTGCAAGCTTGATGCTGGTGCATGGATCCTGTCATCCAGCCATCCAGGCTTCTTTCACAGTAAATGGATTTTCAGGAAGATGCATGGCATTGGCTGTTCGAAGAAGATTGCCGAAAGCCTGCACAGTCTACGGGTGATTTGGCGTGGGCCCAATGGCTTGACTCTTTTGATGGAGGCTCCAGATGGGTGGGTCTTCAAGAATTCTGCGGGTCACTGGTCGATCTCACCGACAGGACCTGTTTGGTCCTTGGCTTGGTCATGGCCCCAGCTTGCAGAAGATGCCATGTGAGACAGATTCCGAGGACGATTAGCACATGTTTGCACCATTTGCATTGAACATGTTGGAATCAGATGGATTTTTGGGAGACTATGGTGATTCATCTTGCCAATCTTACGTCAGGGCTTGTGCGGTTGTGCCATTTGTGTTCAAATCTTTTGAACTCTTTGTGACCTGAAGAATATATGGTGCCTCAAAGGTCTAGTGTGCATTCGCCCTAAATGGTCATTGAAGATCCCCAATGGATGAAAAAGACACCTGTATCAAATGACAAAATTCTTTTGTGCAGGCCATTCATGTTTCTATGTCATAGTGAGTGCACACAGTGGTAGGAACCAAAGCACTCGACATTGAATTCCAGGACACCGTGCAAATCTTGACGTCTCCAATCATTGAATGTCATTATTTATCATGAACAATATCACAAATCCTTCGCAACCTCACATGTATTCAAATCTACAGGCTCCTGAGAGCATTTCTATCTACAGCCGGGAGCAACTACAGCTTCTTGTTCCACACCTATTATTTTTGAAGCACATCAAGTCAAACTGGTACGTTTTGTTCAATGTTCAACTCACCTTTACGCAGTTAGGGTGAACACAAGCTTCCTCATCCGCCACTCCATACCACGTGTCATCCGCACCGAACATGGTCATCCGATGTCATCCGCATGGGACGAGGCATCCTTTGGGACACTTGTTGGTGAGTGGATCCAATGTCAGCCCGCATGTCTTGCCCGGGCATTGGGGTGTCTTGCGCATGTGAGCCGAGTGTGAGCCAGACAGTCTGTGGATGAGGCGACTGGACTCATCGCAGTCGTCTCATCGCATGAAGATCACGAAGTCATGAAGTTGGAGGGTCAAAAACGCGCACATTGTGCGACGTCACTCATTGAGCCGTTGGGAAGCTAGACACAAAAGACGGTCCAATTTCAAGCGGGGATTGCAACCATCAGCATTTGGATCTAGTCGAGTCAGTTGCAACCAGCTCGGAGGATGACATCCTTACTTTTGGCCGCCAGTTCATGTGAGTTGTGAAGTTCAAGAACATGTCCCCAAAGACCTTGGGTTCAAGGGACCAACCACAAGAATATGTTACACAGCTTGGGCAAACTGTTAAGTGTTAACGTCCCCCATGTTCCGTGCACTTCGCCACACGGCCTGAATCGCGCCAGGACTACTCCACGCGCTTTTGGTCTCGCGCGCGGCCGGGCGATCGAGCCTTCGAGCAGTTCCTGCCCAAGCGCGTGGGGGTGATCCCCGGCGAAGCTTAGAACGGAGCGGCGCTCCGCACGGCGTCGGAGCGGGCTCGCGCGAAGCACGGGAGGTTTTGAGCGCGGGAGGTTCGCATGTCGGACGGTCTGATGGTGGATGGGCTGATGGTCGATGGTGGATGGGCCAGCTAATAATCTAAAACTGTCACAGTATATAACTATATATAGTGCTTGTATGTCCTTAATTGTCCTTGTATAAGATGAGCGTCACGTAGGCCCTATGGAGGAAAGGGTGGTAGTTGCAAAGCCCTTAGATGATACCGCTACCTGGAGTGTCAAAGTACCTCAGAAAATGGCCGGACGCACATCTTCTTTGTTTATAGGATCATTTCCCATTGTCTAAGGTACTTTCCCATCATCATCCAAGATTTGCTGAGGAAAAATATGAAGTTGTCGTGGAATCCATAGAGGATCCAGGTATATACGTCTTGGATTCCAATCCAACACCCCGGTGACCGTTTCTCCCGGGCGCCGCCAGTTGGGAGCCACAGAAGCCACGGCGGTGGTGGAGACACCGCCTGCGGGTGAGAGCGAGGAGATCTTGCAGGTGGGCGAGGGAGCGGGGCGAGGGTATGGGTTGAGATGACGGAGGTCCAGAAGATTGAGGTCGCGGCTACCAGTCGTTTCGGAGAGCAGCCGAAAGCCGGCACATGTAAAGCTGGAGAGGCCAGAGGTATGGTAGGCTTTTAGATGGTTTTAGTATGAGTTGGTCTATGTCTATATTGTTCCAATGAAAAGTACTGAGTTCCAAGACACCATATTATTGGTAGCGAGACCGCTATGTCTACCGGACCCTGGACCTCTTGTAGTTTGATCCATCCCCACATCATCATGGAAGTTCCATATGTGGTAGCAATCCTTTCAAAGGGGATATGGAATTCTTGCCCGGCTCTCAGAAAAGGTACCAAGGCTCTCTGAAAAGGTATCCTGCGGATGTCCCAGCGCATGGAGCACACCAGTCACACCATATAGATGAAGCCCTCCCTGATTTTCCACCACTTTCTCATGGATCAGGAAGTCAGGAAGTGCCGAAGTGGAGGTTCTAGCCAGACCGAGCAAAGCCACTCTTGTGCCCAGTCTGGCGTCTTTGCTGAGCTTCCAGCTCCTCCACCGACGGAAGAGGCTCAAAGATCGGGGGGTGAGGTCGGTGGGGAAGGTGTGTCAAGTGATGTACGTTCAGCATCCATAAAGGCTTGCCAAGGTGGTTGCTCTCGGCCACTTGACTACTTCATATGGTTTTCGGAACAGTGTTGTCAGCACCAAGTTCCGGTGGTGTTTTTCGATCACCCTGACCATGTGTTTACCATCCCAAGTGTTCAGATCCACCCACCCCATGGTCAATATACCCCATTGACCCCTTTTCCAGCCCTTGATTCGCGCGTCTCGAAGTCTGGAAGCATCGAGACGCCGAAGGATCAGATCGTCTCGCCACGGTCGGGGCGATGGTCGGGGCGATGTTGAAGAGAAGCTTTCGATCACCCAGATCGTCGATCGTCTGTTGAAACCATGCCATCATGTTGAAACATGTTGAAACCCCTAATGCTTCAAGTCTGCATGCGTGCCACCTGGTCGCGACCCTTTGATCTTTTTTCCTTTCCTCTCTCAAGTTGCTAGGAATCTCAAACAGCTGGGTGTTAGCTCGTCCAGCGCCTTCGTCCCCCGAGCGGCTCGGCGCCGAGCGTCTCTCCGCCCAGCGCCTGGCCATCCTCAACGGGACCTTGGCACTGGCGCCAGCTCCAGAGCCTGAGAAGGCACCGGAGCCCACAGAGGAGGCACCGGGTTGTTTTGTTTTGTTTTTTTCCAGTAGAGTTCCGAAACACGGATAAATCAAGCATAAAACCTGTGCGGATTTGGTGGTGCTGGGGAAGGGCAGAACGAACACCAACTCCAAGGATCAAACATGGATGAAGTATGAGGGCAGAAAGGAAACCCTCGAACCCTCAAGCCGCCTGGCCAGCCGCTTGGCGGTATGCGCTTTCCTTTTCTCCTGCGATTCCAAGAGATATCCATGCGCCAGCATTCCCTTTTGTTTTCTGCAGGAGGAGAAGGAGAAAGACACCACGCCCATGGTGGGCCTTTCGCCAAGGACTCAGATGAACGCAGCTCTGCAGCGGAAAAGCAAGATCAGACAGAAGGAAAGAATCGCAATATGAGAAGCATTGAGAAACGATATCATGTTGGTTGGATCCTTCTTTTGTCTTCTGTTCTTTTCAGCAAGATCCACTCGACTTCCTACTCATTGTTTATTCATGATCCTTCATCCACAGTTGCTGGGACGGGGGGGAAGAAGCCAACTCTGGAATCTGACTTGGCGCAACGGTGCTTTGATAGAAACATGACACATGTTCACCATGCGAGAAGTCATTTGACGTCACCTATATTTAGATATATATATATATATATTATTATATCATCCTAGCATTGGTGCGTGCAAAATACCGTGTGCTTTAAGCATAGCAAATCTGTTTCTTGTGCTTCCGACCCGACCTCCAGATCCGACCCGCGACCCGACCGCCCGGCAGGTTGGGGCAAGGACCCAAGGCCCGAAACGTCTTCGACACCACGGACTTCGATGCCGAGGCGAAGAGCGGTTCGTGAGCGGTGAGCGATGCGGAGCGGTGGTGATCCGGTCCGGTTCGCTGCTGCGGCGGCATGTCCTGGGCGGTCTGTTCTTTTTTAGCTTGCGCTTCATGACCAGGATTGGATCCGGTCAAAAAGAGATTAAGAGAAGAAACCACGATGTGAAAAACAAAGAAACATGAGGTGATGTTTGAGATTTTTGTTGAGAGGTGTATTTTTGGGATGACGACAAGGTTGGAAAAACTTGTGGCTTTTTCTTAGCCGTAGGGAATTTGCCAAAGCTGTGGAATGAGTTCTTGATATTTTGGGGGGGAATTGTTGATCGATCCGATTTTGTGGTTTTGAGGGGCTTCTGCAGTTACGCTTTTGGTTGGGGGATGACCTTAGAGATGAACAAGATGAACATGCCACTCATGAACTGGTCACCCCAAATGTTCGGGGTTGCTCAGGAGTGGTTGAGAAAGCTTTTGAGAAGCCCCGAGCACGGTTTCTGGGCAGGTCTTGGCTTTTGAGCAGACCGCGCGAGATCAGCGGCCAGACTTCTTGGGTGCTGAAGAGCGGGCCGCGTCCAAGCGGGGCCACGACCCCAAAACCCCATTGGCCCACTCAGAGCCCCACAGTTTTTTGGGTGTGTTGGTGGAGAAGCCAGGAGAAGCCTGAGAAGCGAGTCCTCACCAAGGTGGAACCCACGGAGGCCGTTCCGTGTCTGGCCAGCTTGAGAGAGGGAACGGAGTGAAGAGATCGGTATCGGATACGGACGTTTTGGCTGAACATAAGGCAAGGCAAGAGTTTTTTGGATTTCATGTTCGGTTTTTGTGACTCTTGCCATATCCAAGCCACAGAAAGTCACCAAAAAGGGACTTGATTCGATGCAATTTTGAGTGGAAGAGTTCATCAGTGAAGGTTCATCAGTGAACCTTGGTGTTTTGGAGCATAGTTTGTGGCGTAAACGCAATTTGAAATCATTTGAAATTATCGTATCAACCCGTGCTAGTGAGAAATGCAGCGCAGCGCAGCAAGTTTTACTGTAGCACTTTAAACCAATATTACAGTCTCTCGTTTTTTGTTGCCAAAAACAGGATGGAACGATCATTTATACCAGTACTTCGGAATTGTCCAAATGCAAACGATCCCAATTGAAGTTATTAAATCTTGAATGTTCATCGTCGCAGCGGATGCAACTGATGTATTCATGGGAGTTGTTTCCAGCATCCCAAAAGCCTTGAACGTTGTACACGACAAAACAAACGCTGATTAGAACGACGCGGGTTTCAGAAAAGTAACGTTGCAGGACTGCAGGATCATCAAAATCATCAAACAAAAAAGACTTGGCACATCTCAGCACCCGGTTCATGTTTTGATTCCGGGCGCCGAGCAGAATCTTCCACCAGAGTTTGGTCGCTGATTCCACCGTCCTCAGGAGAAGACTCGAAAGATGGCCAAGGTCGAACCAGTGGAGGCGGGTCTTCTGAGACCGGTTTAGATGTAAAGACCGTAAAGGAAGCGGCCTGAAACGAGGCTGAGGCAAAGTGGTCTCATGCACATATCTTTCCGGAAGCAGATTGGTCTCAGAATAGACTTGTTGGAACAGTGAGAAGATACCAGATGATTCACAGCACTGTACCAACCAGAGATCCTGGTAATGGGCAAAAGACTGTTTGCATGTCACAGCCTCCAGCTGTCATGACATGATGGAAAGCCAATTTGTCTAACCATTTCGCCGTGGATCGCCAGGAGAAACCCGTCTCGGCCAAAGTGGAGCCAGTTGAGGCCGAGACCCGACCGCAGGAAGCTGTTCGGAATCCATTTTTGCCTGACAATTCATGTCCACCCGATTTATCTTGGGGTGTTTCTTTTTGCATTGGATCCTCAAGATTTTCCGAGGGAGCATGTGGTAATGACCTGCCATATCCTGCAAGTGGATATGTCACAAAGATCAACAAAGCAACTTCAGAGTAAGCAATGTGGGCCTCAAAAAGGACCCCTCCCACCACAGGGCCACGAGTGTTAGTTTGATGCAAGCAGCAAACCCAGACTTGAGGTTTGGGTCAGTCCATTCAGGCAGTAATTCTGTTCCCCTTGCAGCCATTCTTTGGTAAGATGGTTTTCACCATGCCTTGTTAGTTGGCTGATAAGGCTTCAAGTCGTTTGCTCATCACCGTTTGACCCCCAGCACCTGAATTGTGTTTCTCTTGATTCACCTTTCTATTCACTACTACAAGAACATATCGTTTTTTTTCGTGAAGATATTAGTTGAAGTTACGAGTTCTGAACATCCCAATCACCGACGTTTGCTTCGGTTCCGAGGCTCCACCGGCGCCCACCCACTCCGCTGAGGCCGGGTGGATCCGTGCAGATCTGTAAGTAGCCTCCTGGAGTGGAGTATCCACCTATTTGTAGAGGCAAATGCTCATGCTTGCGGGGTCATGTTGGTCAAGCAATGAGGAGTTCTGCTCTGTACATGCACACATTGATTGAGCTGATTTGGCGCTGTTTTTCGGATCTTGTCTGAAAATCGGATGGGTGTTCGTTCGTTTAACCGTGCGATCGGCCCCCCTTTTCCGGTCCGGCCGGATTCGGACGAGCGATTTCCGGAGTCCTCTTCGGGTCGGGGCAGGATGGATGTGTTGACTTATATAAGAAACACATTTAAGACTACATTCCGACGAACACATCACATGGAAATGGTTCAACCACCTGTTGGTGGAGGATGTCATGGTCTTCACAGGGACATGTTCATCCATTGTCCACTTCCATGTTAGTGAGTCAGAGTTTGCCGTACTTGGGTCGACTGTACTGTATCAGTCAAAATTTTAGCCCGCGCCTTGAGGACCGAACTTCTACCAGGAAAAAATTGTACCTCCACCGTACTGTATCAGTCCTGAATCAGAAGTTGTTGAAGTCAGTGACTGTTGATACCGTAGAAGAAATTGTTGTTTGAAGTCCTGGATCAGGCAGTGGCACCAGCAGAACTGGCACAGGCTGGTTGAGGAAGAAGGGGCTGCTAATCGGCTGAAACGAACACCATGAGCAGGTTCAGTACCAAAGGGTGCAGGTTTGCATAGGGCTTGAAGTTTGACAAAACAAGTGGTACTAACTTTGCCGAAATCCCAGATGTTCCAACAGTGTCCATCATCCTTGACCTATCATAAGAATCATAAGATGCCGTCTCTATCCACTGTCCCTCACATCCACTTTACGTAGCCCTTAGGATGACAAGAAAACTCAGCTGGAGAAAAACCTAACGCGGATGCAGATATTGCTGCTCATGTGATTGGAATATATATGTGTGTAGTTGTTTGTTTGTTTTTTACACATATACCAAATTATAGAGCATGTATGCAATGGGGTATGGTGGGGTGCTATTGGAGGACAATTCACAAGACTCACAAGTATGACTTGTTGATATTGTCTCCTTGTTCAATTGGAATTGGGCCCTGAAAAAAGCAATGCTTCTACCATGTGCTGCTGATTAGCATCCCGAAAGTTTTCTCCAGTGATTGGAATGTGGCCATAAACAGGTCAAGTGACCCGGGGGCACAGGGCACCAATAGTTGCAGACCAAATCTATTTGGTCCGGAGGCGAAGGATCCCAGGCTCACCTAGCGACGCAGGCGGACGAAAAGCCGACGCCGAGTCTGGTCAAGGTCGAGGCAGGTTGTATGCAATGAATGAATTGAAGACATTATAAATAATGAAATCCAGAATTTTGGAAATTCATATTCTGAATATGACGATTCACATCTCATGACGAACATCTTGGAATTAACAAGAATCCATAATTTCTTTGGATCCGAATGCAGGAAATTGAACAATCAAAGAATTCTTAAAATTATCGATCGATAAAATCCCAATATATGGAAATTAATATAAAATATAAATGGATCAATATTATTATTGAATATATTTTATTATATTCAAATATTAAATGTAATGTATATTTTTTTATAATATATATATATATTTGAATTAAATATAATGTATATATAATACAATGATGGGAAATATATATGTGATATAGGAATATAATATATATATATATTATAATAATATATTTATATAAAAATATATATATATATAAATATCGATATATCTTTTTTATTTGGAATAGTTTTCGTATTAAAATTAGGTATATATTATATAATTTCGGTATTTTTGGATTTATTTGATTATATATTAATATTTTATTCCGACAATTGATATGTTTATTCTTAAATTTAGAGAATATGATATTATATATATTTGAAGATGATATTGATTGTTTTATATTTGATTGTTATATTAATATTGTGATGTTTTATTTTTGATTTGGTACGAAATGGGTGAGAATTGATTACGATTAAATGGTGGATATATGCATATTAAATATAATTTTAAAAGAATTTTTAGGACGGGTTTTTTACATTGGTTGCACGTACATAATTGTTGATATTTTGATATTTCTTTTTGATTCGGATATTTTAATAGTTAATCTTAAGGCATTTTTATTAAAGATTATATTAAAATATAAATAGATTTTATATATTAATATATTGAAAATAATTTGTTCTTTGTATGATTCGCCGCCGTTTTGTCTATCCTGATTAATTGTCGTGGCAGAACTATATCTAGGCAGGCTCATATATGATCGATTGCATTTGATTAGGGATCATGATATATTGGATATTTATGGAATATTTTGAAAAATCGATAAATGTTATTTTATGATCGGGCCAAATTTTTGGTTGCCTTTATACATTATTTAAGACATGTTTCTTATTACAGGAGATTGCAATATATCATTGATTGTAGATGCCCCCCTATGTGAGCAATCCTGACCCTAAATTTAGCTAGGCTGCTCAGAGTGATAAATATAACTTTCAAACCATGGTTCGTGATCTTAATCTTATTGTATTGCATTTCAAGCGCAAATGGTCTCCCGTTTTTATATATGAACATTATTCTAATAGAATTGATTTTATGTTCATCCGCCAATATCAAATTCAATGGAACAAATATGCCGTTCGGGTGCTGACTCGATTCGAATATATCATTGGATATATTGAACCCTTTCACCATCCATTGATTCTGAACCCTTTCACCATCCATTGATTCTGTCCTTACCCGAATGGTTTGCCTCACCAAGGGACATCCCATCCATTAATTCGATCGACCGGCATCGACTAAGGCAGGGATACTGGATTCAGAATGAAATCTAAGTGAAACATATATAGGGCAATGAATTCTTGCAAAAGCCTCAAAGTGAAGTGCAGTAATAATGTATTTCTGGCGGCATCTAGGGCACTTAATTTGTAGGCCTATTGATCCAGGCCATTTCGCGAGGCACTTAAAAATGTGCATTCTATGTTTACATTGGTATATCATTTGTAGAGGCATTGGCAATATATATAGACGAATAGTTGCCAATAACAAATAAAAGTGGCGACCAAACATGAAAGGATGCTCCAGAATGTGGTCTTTGGAAAACCCCTGCAATCAAAGAAATCCTAACGTATCAAACGAAAGGGCAATTCCTTATCGGCAGTGTGGCCTTCATGAACGATATATTGGATTATCTATGTTTTGCCATTGTCTGTGAACAAGGCACTTAGGAGGTATAATGCATGCACAGATTTTTGCAGCCTCCACTGGAGGGAGGGGGATGAGGCCATTGTATTGTGGTGCACTCCAAACAGCTCAGCTAGGAAGGGTAGCACACCGTGTCAAGGTAGCGGCCAATCAAGTGATTCCCTTGTCAGTGCTAGAGGGTAATCACAGATTATTGTTGCTGAGTGAGTCGTACAATGCCCTTCTGAAAATATAATGAAATTATGCAGAAAGCATTGTATATTTTGTAGACGGCCGGCACGACTCTCGCCCACGCACAGGACAAGGACAGAGGTCCTCGCCTGATTTCTGGCCGATTAGGCGTATAGTATTGTGATTCGTAATTTCATTTCATATGCATAAAAGATTGCCTTGAAATTGATGTCGTTTTATTTGCAATAGGGCAGATAAATTCATTACGAATATTATGATTATTTTGCTAAAATATATTTCAATTTATATAGAATTATTTTAAATCATATAAATATATATATTCTATCAATTATAATCAATAATTCTAAAATTATTTTGAAATTATATATATATAATGAATTAATGAAATTTAGAATATATAAAAAAAATCAAAATCAATTAGAATATTTAAAAAATAAATCATAAAAAATTATATTTTAGAAAATATTCATCCAGGAATTATTAAAACCTCTAAGGATATATTAAATTTCATCAATTAAAAGATGCATTAGGGATTCATGTTCCAACCATATTCTAAGATTATCTTTCTAGTAAATTCGTTGTTCTATGTTTAAAGTGTGCCATATATTGTCATGTCCATAGGTATCCGAGATGGTATTTAGAAGAATCTAATATCTTGAAAAATCGATAAATGTTATTTCATGACGGGGCCAAACTTTTGGCTGCCCTCACACATTGTGCAAGTCATGTTCCCAAGAGCCACATGTTTCTCATTACAGGAGATTGCAATATATCATTGATTGCAGATGCCCCCCATGTGAGCAATCCTGACCCTAAACTTAGCCAGGCGGCTCAGAGTGATAAATATGACTTTCAAACCATGGTTCGTGATCTTAATCTTATTGTATTGTATTTCAAGCGCAAATGATCTCCCGTTTTTATGCATGGACATCATTCCAATAGAATTGATTTTATGTTCATCCGCCAATATCAAATTCAATGGAACAAACATGCCGCTCAGGTGCTGACTCGATTCGAACCCACCATTGGATATATTGCACCCTTTCACCATCCGTTGATTCTGTCCTTACCCGAATGGTTTGCCTCACCAAGGGTCATCCCGTCCATTAATTCGATCGACCGGCATCGACTAAGGCAGGAATACTGGACTCAGAGTGAAACCTAAGGTGAAATCTAAGTGAAATATATATAGGGCAGTGAATTCTTGCAAAAGCCTCAAAGTGAACAATCGTAAGTGCAGCAATAACGTATTTCTGGCGGCATCTAGGACACTTAATTTGTAGGCCTATTGACCCAGGCCATTTCGCGAGGCACTTAAAAATGTGCATTCTATGTTTACATTGGTATATCACTTGTAGAGGCATTGGCAATATATACAGACGAATAATTGCCAATAACAAATAAAAATGGCGACCAAACATGAAAGGATGCTCCAGAATGGGGTCTTTGGAAAACCCCTGCAATCAAAGAAATCCTAACGTATCAAACGAAAGGGCAATTCCTTATCGGCAGTGTGGCCTTCATGAACGATATATTGGATTGTCTATTTTTTGCCATTGTCTGTGAACAAGGCACTTAGGAGGTATAATGCATGCACAGATTTTTGCAGCCTCCACTGGAGGGAGGGGGATGAGGCCATTGTATTGTGGTGCACTCCAAACAGCTCAGCTAGGAAGGGTAGCACACCGTGTCAAGGTAGCGGCCAATCAAGTGATCCCCTTGTCAGTGCTAGAGGGTAATCACAGGTTATTGTTGCTGAGTGAGTCGTGCAATGCCCTTCTGAAAATATAGTGAAATTATGCAGAAAGCATTGTATATTTTGTAGATGGCCGGTACGACTCTCGCCCACGCACAGGACAAGGACAGAGGTCCTCGCCTGATTTCTGGCCGATTAGGCGTATAATATTGTGATTCGTAATTTCATTTCACATGCATAAAAGATTGCCTTGAAATTGATGTCGTTTTATTTGCAATAGGACAGATAAATTCATTACGAATATTATGATTATTTTGCTAAAATATATTTCAATTTATAAAAAATTATTTTAAATCATATAAATATATATATTCTATCAATTATAATCAATAATTCTAAAATTATTTTGAAATTATATATATAATGAATTAATGACATTTAGAATATATAAAAAAAATCAAAATCAATTAGACTATTTAAAAAACAAATCATAAAAAATTATATTTTAGAAAATATTCATCCAGGAATCATTAAAATCTCTAAGGACATATTAAATTTCATCAATTAAAAGATGCATTAGGGGTTCATTTTCCAACCATATTCTAAGATTATCTTTCTAGTAAATTCGTTGTTCTATATTTAAAGTTTGTCATATATTGATATGTCCATAGATATCCAAGATTGTATTTAGAAGAGGTCCAGATAGAACCAGATATTGAGAGAAAAAGATATCATATTATATATATATGTAGACGACAGAGGAGAAGAAAATTTGTCCAAATCACATACACAAGCATAGAGCTGCTCAACATATATTGATTGAAATTCAACCATGTTGCTAAAATGCTTCTGACACATTCTATATTTAGATTATTCCATAGATATAAATATATATCATATATATATCTTTATATGCAGAAATTTTGCCTTAAAAAATAATCTATTTAATAATATTCTTTTCTGGTCGCCTCCTGCATGTAATACCTAATTATTACGGGCTCTATTTAAAACACCAACAAGTGTCAAGAAAATAGGAAAAAAAAAGACCTATATAAATGATTTCCAAAATATCTTTTCCCAAAATAGGGCATTCCTCGCAATTCCACGGGGGTCCATTTCTAATAATCCTTTAATTTTCAATCCCACTCAAACCACACAAAAATTGTAAGAGGTGTCTAACGCGAATTACTAAGATATTGGAGCTATTATTGCTAATAAATTCCTGTAATTATTTTCATTTTTTGTTCTTAGAAATCTTCAAAACGATATAATCAAGAAAGATATAAAAATTAATTCAAAAGATTTCAATATTAAATAAACAAATAATCAAAAAAATAAATCCTCCTCTAGCAAAT